ACTTGACATTAAAAAACTTGAAGGCATCTCTTTCAAAACAACTTTCAATGGTATATGGGATTGGTGAGTCTACAGTTTGTGATATTAAAAAGAACAAAGAAAGGATTATAAAGTATCCAGACAGTTGAGATCCCATGAGTGGAGTATCCAAACGTAAATCTAGGAAGTTGTCAACCCATAGTTGACTTGGAACTTGACCAACCCTAGCATGCCCCACAGGAACTTGATAGCGTGGTGATAGAGTTGTTTAACCCACAGAAGACAGATGGGGTTCCAGTGTCCGGGACTATTTATGCAAAGCAAGCCAAGTTTTTTTCTGATGCTTTGGGGATGGAAGGTGATTTTAAGATGTCATATAGCTGGCTAGCTTGATTCACATAGCACCATGGTATCTCAAAGGCTGCTGGTAAAGGAGCAAAATTAAAAGATGAAACTGCTGCCGGTGAATTTTGTGGTAACTTTCAGGAATTTGTTGAGAGAATCTGCAACCAGAGCTAATTTATGGTGCTGATCAAACTGGGTTGTTCTGGAAATGTCTACCATTGAGGACCTTAGTTCTTGACACTGAATGAAATAATTCAGAGTACAGGTCAAACAGAGAATCATTATAATGTGTTGTGCAAATGCCACAGGCTTACACAAACTTAATCTTTGTGAAGAAAGCAAAACAAAAAAAAATGGTGCATTCAAAGGAACTGACCTTTCCAACCTTCCTGTCACTTCAGTCAAAAAGGTGTGTGGATAGAACAGTCTTGTTTTCAGACAGTGGATTGATAAATATCTTGTGCCACAGGTACAGAAACATTTGAGATCCAAGGGTCTTCTACAAAAAGCAGTGCTTTTTTCAGATTTCCCCCCAGCACATCCAAATGAAGAACTGCTGAGTTCAGCTGATGGTGGAAGAATTGTGAAGTATTTGCCAGCAAATGACACAAGTCTAAGTCAACCAGTGAGCCAGGGAGTTAATCCTGGTAACTACCAAGCCGGACTTCTCCAGAAGTATATAGATGAAGGAATTGACCCAAAAATGTTTTAAAGAACTTGACAGTGTTGGATGCAATTTATGAGGTGTCCAGGGCTTGGAACATGATAAAAGCAAGTACCATAACCAAGGCATGGAGAAAACTTTGCCTTGGCAATGGAGAAAATTCAGTTATGAACATTGATGAGGGAGCCATTTTAGCCTCTAACTTAGCAACAGTTTTACAGAATACAGAAGACTGTGAATACGTTGACATTGAGAATATTGATCAGTGAGTGGCATGACTCTCGGGGTAACAACGCAGGCTGTTCAGTGCTGACAGTGAAAGTGCTGAGCACCAGGCCACAGCTGCCGAGCAGAAGCCTTCCAGTAAGACAAGCAGAACTGAACCCTGAGAAGCACATTAGCCATAAAGCCATCCACTTGAATGGATTGGAAATTTACTGAGTTATCTAGAACAAGATGACATGCTACTGTCTAATAAAAGAAAACAAAAGATTCAAAGTAACAAAAATCATTCACAGTGCTCTTAAGTGTTTCAGTGTTTTCATCCTTGTGATTATCTGCAGTGGAACTTAGTTTGAAGTGTGTGGGTCCTAAGGCCAAATACATTTTTTAAATGATTTTAGCACTGGATGCCATTTTGGAGCACGTAAATCACAGCTCTTTAATGAGGACTCTGGTAACTGAGCATCATTTTGTAACTTGTCTGTCTACTGTTTTTAATCTGTATTATCCCAACTAGATCATAAGGACCTTAAGGGCAGGGATCTGTTTTGTGCCTAAATTTCAGTGTGTCTAACAGTCTATGCACATTATAGGCACTCAATAAATTTTACTTTTAAGAAAAGGTCTTTACCTTAAACAGGTATCAATAATTCAGTATAGTTTATATTTCCAATGGATGGATGGTAACTGGTATGTATATATCTGCTAACACACTATCATGTACTATATTCTAAGCAAATGGTTCTTGCAGTTTCAAAAACACTAGAAAAAAAGCTTAAAGCACCCCCTTACTTTGGCAGTACTAAGAAGTGAACTTCAGCCCTTCACACTAAGCCCTTTTTTTCAAATTTATCACTGAGACAGGTCACACTAGGTGGCCCAGGCTGGGTTCAAATTGGGGATCCTCCTGCCTCAGCCTCGTAGAATGCTGAGATTACAGGGGTGTACCACCATACCCAGCTTCAGTTTTTAAAAATTATAAAGCATTTGTTTTGTTTTATATTATAAAGCATATATATATATATTTTTTTGTTTTGTTTTATATAGCATATCTGTATATCTACCTATCTATATATATATATTTGTTTTGTTTTTTGAGATGGTCTCATTATGTAGTTCAGACTGCTCTGGAACTCACTGTGTAGCCCAGGTTGGTCTCTAACTCACAGTGATCCTCCTCCTGCCTCAGCCTCCCGAGTGCTGGGATTACAGGCGTGCACCACCATGCCCAGTGATAAAGCATTTATATTAAAGTTTATATGACACAAATGTATTTGTACATAGAAGAAAAAAACTATAGTATAATTGAGTTTTGGAAATTACCAGTTTTGATCAAAGTTGAATTAAAGATATTTGAAATTTATAACTTTAAACTTATATATTTTCAAAACGTTCCCAAATCTCTTTAACTGGTTGCTGACATTTCTCATCCATATGTGATTTTCCAGATACATTACAGTATTTCATTTAGTCTCCACAAAAACTCTGAGGTGAGAATCATAGATGAGGAGGTTGAAGCCCAGAAGAGTTAACTTGGTGATGCAGCTATTAAAGCCCAGCCAAGGTCCTCTCCTGTTTCACTGTGGAGAAGTTGCAGGGAGAAAGCAGTGTCCTAAGTTCTCTGAGAAAAGTGCAAATGAACATAACCATGTATGATTTGCTTTTTCCAGAACGGTCATTTAATAGGGGACTTCTACAGGATTAGAGATTTCAGTGACACAAATGGCATGCTGCAGCACGTGCGCCATAGGTTTGCCAACCCGGTTACAAGGGAGAGTAGAATCAGAGATGCCTTGAGTTGGCATGAGGAAATCAGTCTAGTCAGCCAGCCGTGGGCTTTGTTCTTGCTTCCTAATCTTTGCCCTGAGACCTCCAGCTTGTGTCTCAGAGGGCTGTGCAGCCTCCTGGGGTCACAAGCAGGAGCTGGGACCAGAGGATGCCTGTCAGCTTTCTCTTCTGCCAGCTGTTCCTCATGTCCCGCCTCTGCTCTAGGCCCCTTGGCTGCTCACAGCCTGCTGCCTCTTAATAGTGCTGGCTACTAAGTGGGGCTTGAGGCTCCACAGAGTTCTGGGCCCACTCAGGTGAGGCTGGCTTTGTGGCCTCCACCTTTCTTAGTGTACTGCCCATTTCCACATAGCAGCAGCCTGTGCCATGTGCCCCCTGGAGTAGGACCAAACTCCCTCTCATGTGGGGAAGTGCTTGGGAGTGAATCCCAGGCTGTTTTGGACTGACTGACATTCTCTCTCATCAGTATACTCATCAGGGTGTCAGCTGATACTTGATGACCTGTTGTCCCCCAGCAGCCTTGTCTCTGCAGGTTGTGGCATAATGGAGATAGTTCTTGTGTCCTTTCTCTCCTTTAGGGCTGGTTTCTTTGGGTAAATCAGTTGCTTATGGTTACCTTATGACCTCAGCTCTGATGGACTCTAGAAAAGTTAGGATTTTGTGACTACTATAGCTTATTTTTATAATGAAAATATTGTAGCTTTCTGTATCGTGAGCACAAAGGTAATCCTATACTTTTAAAAGACTGTTTTGCTCCTCCCAATCTCCAAGTCTATTTCAGAATTGTGCTTTTTTAACTAATATTTGTGTGTCCATGTTATCTCCCCTGGTGAACGTAATTTAAATGAGGTCCCATCTTGAGTCTGTCCTTAGCCTTACATTCAGTCAGATCATATGGATCAACAGTTAAAAAGTGGAAGTCCTACAGAGATGGTTAGAAAAATGAAGTTATTTTTCTAAACAGGGTAGCTAAGAGTACACATAGCTTTTCTGGTTTTGGGGACTTTTGTCTATACCCAAGCAATTGGTATTTAAGTCCAGAATGAGACATCTTAACTGAACAGAAATTTACCAGAAACTAGCAGGCAAAGTGGAATAAGACTTGCAGGACTCTGTTCTTTGGGAAGCAGCTGAGCCTGTGAAATGTGGCACCAAAGTTTGGGCTTGAACCAAACATTCTTGTAAAGCCAGTTCTACTTTCCTGCAGATTTCAGGTACTAGAGAAATCTTTCGCCAGAAGACACTCCTCAGCAGATGTGAAAACTTTGTGGACTGGCCAGGTGTGTGGGTAAGAAACAGAATGATTTTATAGTGGTTCTCCAGCTCTTCTTGACCTCTGAGCCATGGGGACTCTCCTCAGGCCTGAGGATTCAGAGTCCACATACAACTTGCACACACAACTTTCTCTGCCTGCTGTCTGGATCACTGTGATTCTGGTCAGATGCTGCCATTTTTAGGTCAGAAAATGATACTTCCTAGTGCAAAAAATCCCACCGTGCTCCAGCTTGCCAGTTCATTGAGAACTTTGTACACTTTAAGGGATGCCTTTATGAATGACAGTATCTGTCATTACCAAGCTGCCATACCAGCTGAAGATTTCATTTATTGACCAAGTTGGGTCATTTTTTTTTCTTCTTGCTTTAATAGGTACTTTCCATGGAGGTTTTTAGTGTCCTTTTTTCTAGGAACAGAATTCCTCATTTTTAGAAATAAAGTTATGGTCTTTCTCTTGATGGTGACGAGCTTAGGGTAGTATGGAGTAGTATGGAGTAGTATGGAGTGTAGTTTTTCCACCTTGATGTTTATGGTCACTTATCTCTGAAGAAATGAACTGAGATCTTAGTTGGTAAAGCCTGGAAAGTTTCATTATCTGCACAAAAACACAGGTGTTGGAAAATAAAGCAGAAGTTTGTACACGTTGCTATCTGAATGTTCCAACTGTAACTGCTTTCTTTAAAATACTCTGAGGAACATATACTGATTAACTCATTTGGCTGATTTTTAGTAGAGAAATGGTCAGAAGGAGCGACACTGGAGAAGAAACTAGAACGCATAAAAGAATCCAAAGGAACATCTGTGGTCTTCCAAGAACCTACACGGATGGAAAAATGCACAGACACAGAGGAGGACAGTGTTGCTGGACTGCAATTCATCAACAAAACCACCCAGTTTCCGTTAGACCGTGCCGAGTACCTGCAGCCTGAAGATACGGCTGAAGCAGTTCCAGGTCCTCCTTCCAAACCAGCCACCCCCAAGGCTACCACCCCACCCCCGTCGCCCTCTCCAGCACCCGTCTCGGCAGAGTTCACTTATGTCCCCGCCGACCCGGCTCAGTTTGCCGCTCAGATGCTAGGTAATGTTGCATCTACTCATTCTCATGAATCTGATGTGTTAATGGTGGACACGGCAACCAGTATGCCTGTTTTTATCGAGGAGGAGGTACTGAGCTCAGAGGTTGCTGAAGAAGTGGTGGCCGCCCCTCTAGGGTGCCCCGGAGAGGTGCAGGTTGTAAGCCAAGCATCTGTGCAGGTAGATGTGGGTCCTAAACCTAAAGACCATAAGGCTGAACCATCCACGGCTTCCTCAGTCCCCTTGCAGAACGAACAACACCCTCCTGTTTATGATCAAGCTCCTAAGGCCCCTTTGCAGGCTGACACGCAGGTCACATCAGTCCTCCGTATATCATCTATGTATAATAATGCGCCTGTCACTGAAGGAGTTGTCTGTGTTGAGCAAATGCCAGGACACATAGTCGTCCCTGTTCCTGAAAAGGAGCAGTCACCACCAGGTAGTCCCAAACTTGTAGTATACGAGATGGCATCAGGCATGTGCAAAAAGTCTGTAGAGTCTGTAAAGCTTGCAGAGGTGGAGGAGACTACAAATTACCAGCCCTTAGTCCATGTGGAGGTAGAAGCTGTAGTACTGCTCTCTGACGCCCATTTGCAAGGTCAGCCGGAGGTACCTGCAGAACCCCTGGATGCAGAGGACCTTATCGAAACAGGTCCCGAAAAGTTTCTGCACCTTGAAGTGGAGATCGTGTCTGTAGACCTTGACAAACCCGGGCAGGAGGAGCCACCCCGAGAGACGGAGGGCGAAGCGTTGCCCCCAGGGGCGGCTGCAGCAGTGCACACAGGTGCAGCTGCGAGATCATCTAGTAGCCCCTTCCCTCCGGTGCTAGAAGGCCTCACTGAGCCAGAAATCGAACCAGAAGGGGAAGCAGCACCTGAACAGGTTTAGTGAGGCCAGGTAAGAAATTCAGACATTTTCACGTTGTATTTGAGAAGACATCTGTATCTCAAGTCATTGTCTAGGTAGGCTCCCTGCAGGTTGGTCAAAGTCTGTTTTTAAAATGCCAGACCTATTAAAAGGCTCTGTTGTATTTAAGATTTTACTCCTAGGGGTGATTTTTAAAGTGATATTCCCAGAGTCTGGTCATCCACACTTTTGTGTTATGCTTTTAGACATAGTATATTATGAACACCAGAGCCTATTGTCAGTAGAAATCTATATTCATGTGATCTGAATACTCCTATTGCAAAGGTGCAATTAGGGGTGTTGGTTTGACATTTCTCACTTGTGAATGTAAAATCGAACTATAACACTGCACTTACCTGGGTGGTGGCATTTAAAGATGTGAAAGAAATGGTGGTGTGTTGGACTGCTTTCGTACCAGTCAGCAGAGCTCTGTGGCCAGGTCTGGGGTGTGGGCTCAAGCAGCAGCTCCTGCCTGTGAGCTTCCTGCAGCTGAGGGAATAGTGTCATAGCTGCATGGAGAGGGGAAGGAAGTTCTGTCCCACTGGGAGGGCAGTCCTAGGATGGCCAAGCACATGGGCCACGGTGGGTGCAGTTCCCATGACTCTACTCAGTCTGAACTGCTGCTTCTCTTTCCTGTGACACACCACGATGTGATCTTCATCTGATAATGGCCCTCGGGTTTGCCCACCCTTCTGCCCCCTCTGGACATCTGAGGGACAAACAGGAACATGCATGAGCTGCTCCCCCCATTCCTGTTCCAGAAACTCAATTCTGACTCGAGCCAGAATGATCAAGGCGTATTACCAAAGCAGGTGTTTAGAAGAGAAATTCTGTCTGGCAGTGGATCAGGGATTCAGACAGCTGGAAAGGCAGAGGGCAGTGCCAGGAGCACAGCCTGTGGGGCTGGCATTATCCTTGTGGCTTCAGCAACATGTCAGACCAGATCACTGTCTTCAGGTGCTTAATTGTTTCTAAAGTAAAACACAGTTGTCCTTGACATAGCAGTCAAGAAAACTCGGACTGAGTTCTCAAATACTATGTAAAAAAACTGAAGAGTTGGATGTATTTTCTGATAAGGAAAGATCAACTCAGAAGTACTCAAGGCTGTTGAAAACAGCAGGTGCTGCCTAATGTGCATAGCATTCTTTTTCTGAGAAGAAAAAAGGCTGTACCAGGGATAGATGGCCCAGTGGGCCAAATTCCTCCATCATCTAGGTCCCATATTACCTGCCTTCAGTAGGCAGGTCACATGTGACACTATAGATTCCTTGAAGATCGATGGATGGCACATCTAGACCTCGCTGTTCTTAACCCCCATGGGAACAACCAACCTTTCACTACCAGGTAGGACCCATGATTTCAAGCTGTGCTGAAAAGGAAGCAGATTCTGAGGGTGCTAAGTTCTAGATCATGAGACGTTATCTGTGGTGGGAGATAACGGTGCCTATGAAGGGTCAGAAGTGAGTGATCAGGACGACAGCCAGTGCCTGACTTCTTTGGGAAAGAAAGAGAAAAAAAAAAAAAAATCACTAGGTGGCTGCATCAACACTTCTTTTGCTGGCCCAACCCTCAGCTGATTAGCCAGTGTTGTGCTGACTATTTCCTCTCTGAGGCTCAAACAGTGACTTAGAATGCGATTGCTTCTAAGCCACACACTAATGCCCCTGCCATGTACTATCTGAGCACTGTCCTCTTCCTCCTGTTCAGAATCACTCGCCTTTCTCATTACCAGACATAATTTACTTAGCTCTCTCTATAGCATGCTTTATGGCACACATTACTACAGCTGTTTGTTTATATGTAAAAAATATTTTTCACAAAGATTATTGTGCATAGCGCCTGATACAGAGACCAAACCTTTAATACCTGCAAATTTTTTTTTTATAGCAATAGCAACAAGCGAAGCAGGACAACCACCACCATATTCTAACAACATGTGGACTCTTTATTGTCTAACTGATATGAATCAACAAAGCCGCCCATCACCGCCACCTGCACCTGGGCCTTTCCCCCAAGCAACCCTCTATTTATCTAATTCTAAGGATCCACAGTTTCTGCAGAATTCACCAAAAATTACTTCTCCTACTTACGTGATAATGGAGGACAGCAAGAAGACCAGTCCCCCACCTTTTATTTTAGTGGGCTCAAATGTTCAGGAAACACAGGATTGGAAACCTCTTCCTGGACACACTGTTGTCTCACAGTCAGATGGTATAAAGAGATATGCTACCGTACAAGTACCCATTGCTGTTGCTACAGACCAGAAACTCCAGAAACACACCCAGAGTCCCCAGAATGCTATTCCTCCTACAAGTGGACACGATGGCCCCAGGCCACAAAGCCCAGTTTTTCTTTCTGTTGCTTTCCCAGTAGAAGATGTAGCTAAAAAAGGTTCAGGATCTGGGGACAAACATACTCCTTTTGGAAGTTACAGTATTGCTGGAGAGATTACTGTGACCAGTGCCCATGTTCGCAGAGCAGAACCTTAAATCTGGTAGGTAAATTTTCCTACCATAATACAGTGAGTTGGGCATTTATTAGTGACCAGTAGGCAGTTGGAGACAACCCATCAAATAATATGTGAAGCAAGCAACCCTGTCATCTTTTGAATATGTGGTAGATTCTAAGAGATGTATTTTTAAAAGGACAAGATAATGTAGATGGCATGGTTAAGGGGAGCACCCGGAGAGCAAGGTAAGAGTTGATGTTACAAGGATTAGTACACGGCACTCTTGGCACTCTCAGTAGATACACTGGGGAGACCCTGGAATTTTTCAGTACTTAATGATGACAATAGGGTTAGCAGAACATGGAACCTATGCATACTGCTGGCCTTTTCTATCCATGTAGCTATCTGGGCATGAACTGCTAGGATGCTTTGGTGTAAAAGCACAGGTAACTAAGAACCTTCCATTTCTGAAATTTACGTTATTCCTAACAGATGCTGAAAATGACACAGTCATCATTCAAGGTGGAGTCAGCCACCAAGCATAATCTATCAATAAACTTCCTGCAAGCATTAAACCTTGTGTGTGGGCTTAGCTTATTTTACTCAACACAAATCTTTTTCCCACTTGTGATGAGCAGATACAGGTACAAGTTAATCCAGCCAGGAATTCCTAAATTGAAACCTGAAACCTGCATCTGGCATTCAGAGTGAAAACAAAGGCCCCCTGCAAAACTCTCTTACCCAGAGACTACTAAAGTGGCGACATTTGAAATTTTTAAAAAGATCATGTTTCTGGAACATTCTAAAGCCTTTATTTAGCATCAGGTAGATTATTTCATGATAACACTTTAAGACAGCAGTTAATTTACTGGCAGCTACCTATGGCCCCTTGGAGCAGTATTTCAGTCTGGGGTTTGGGGGGATAAATACTATAAGATTAATGGACCCCAATTAAAGGGGCAAAGCTACTGTACAGTAGGTCTCCATACATATTTTAAGTACACAGGTACCTTACAAACTTTACACAGTTGATACTTACAATACATACATGAGTACAGTGTAAACGCTTGGGTGGCAGCTGCCACTGGAAGTTGACTCCTTTAAAAAGGTTCGTCATTATGTGATAGTGATTAAAACCTATTTCTAGGGCATCTGTGAATTGCTAGATTTTATACATATTTGCAGTTCAAACATTTTAATGACAATGATTACAGAAAACTAAAAGTAAGGAGCACTAACATATGTAAATGAAATACCTTTCCCAGTTTAATTCTTTAGAATTTTCAAATTGGGAATCCCTATTCAGAATATTCAGGCTTTTTCTTTTTCTCTTGGGATAGGGAAGGGATAAAATTGAGATGATTAATATGATTAAAAGCCATCTTATTAATTTACTTTACAAAATGACAGCCTGTTTCAGCACATTGTATAGGAGAATTCTAAACATGTCAAAGTTACATCTAAAACATTCAAGCATGACAGCATAAAAATAGTCAAAATAACTTGATCTGGGATTATATAATCCTGTAAAGCTAGAGTTACATTTAGCAACCAGAAAAATCATCTCCAGCAGTTTTTACCCCTATAAATATTCCAAATAAGTATGAACAGGAAAATTATTACACATTTTTCATAAGACTTTCACCACCCAATGTCACCATATGCCCTACCTTGTTGGATGAAATGCAAGTTATGAGCAGATTTTTTTTTCTTCTAAAAGATGAGTAGAAACCAAGGAAAAAATTTAAAAACATAGGTTTAAGACTTATTTGTAGATCAGCCAAACATCCGGACTCAACTGCATTTTAATAAATGTCAGGCAAATTAAAGTAGTTTCTGTCCCAGTAGCTGCCAGAGTAAATCCAGTCCTGTGCTCCATTGTGGGGGTTGGGGCCCTGATGGAACCACCTGTGTAAAGAAAGGACAAGATTTACTAGTGACACAGTTCCAGATCACAGGGTATCTGCTGCTTCACTGCGTGCTGTGAGTGAGCACTTGCCAAAGAGTCGAGGAAGAGGTATGTTTTCTCCTTACGGAACGTATTGTGTAGAGCAATGTTCCAAAGTAGGTAAAGATTCCTGCAAAGGGTTTATGATTCACAGCAGCAGCAGTGCAGAATACTGAATAGAAGCAGGACTTTTAATAGGGTGGTCAGAAACAATGTTTCTATCCAGTTTGTCCTCCAGCTCCACTCATCTTCCACTAGAAGGCTTCTTTTCAGCAGTCAGGAGTTAGGATTCAGAAACGCACATCATACCCATGGCAATTTGTAAGGAGCCTACTTTGGGGCATGTGCCTTCCAAACTCAGCTGAGTGCAGCCAAGGAGCTGAATGAAAGAGCAGTCGTGTGACTGCTACTTGCCCAAGCTAGGAATGGAGAGCAAACTTAGGTTTGATGTTAAGGACCACGATTTTTAAAGTAGCTATACTGAATGTAATTTACAGAAATCTAGTCCAAATTTTCCTGGGTCTCTTATTTCAATTCTAATATACATTGTTTGGTTACTTCTAACATTAATATCTTAACCAGTCCTAATTCTACAAAGCTGCCTTTTATTGCCCACTAAAAAATGGGAGACCCATTTTCCTCAGAAGCAACTTTCTATAAGGTAACAAATGCAAAATCACTTCTTCAAAAGATTTACAGTTGGGCTGGGGATTTAGCTCAGTGGTTCCACCACCTTCCTCACAAGCACAAGGAACTGAGTTCGATCCTCGGTACCAAAGGGGGGAAAAATGGTTTACAGTTAAATTCAGGTCACATTTCCTAAATGTTTTCAGAATAACATTTGTAATAAGGAGTTTTCTGTATCTTTGCAATTTTGTCCAAATAAATTGCTTCTAAAAATATTTAACAAGAGGTTAGGTTTGTTTTATCAACCTCTGTCTAATGTTACTGTTATCATTATGGCAAGAATAAAGACACTGAGGAAGAAAGGAGGTGGCTTTGTATTTGGTTGATTCTTTGGAGGCTCATATAGTGAATGTCCACTCAACCAAGATTTTGAGAATATTATGTAAATTATTCATTACCTTCTGGGACTTTTTCTAATTAGAAGTGTAATTTAAATGATCAGTATATGGGTCATTCAGATTTTGGATATATTAGTAGAGTGCCTAAGGAAGCAACCAAAATTGGAATTGTCTAATATGACAAGTTATACGAGTTTAAGTTTCAAGAGGCTAAATAATCGTAACACTTTGGTAGCTTCAGCAGTCAGGCAAATCAGAACCAAGGCAATCCAAAATATGAATCCAGTCCCAGCGTTTCCAAGACAGTTTATAGAGTAGTTTAATAGCAGAGAACGCTCTTGTCCACACTGTCAGCTCGGAGACAAAGCTCTCCAAAGACTGTCTGCAAGCCTACCTTGAGGGTCATCTGTTCTTGGGGACAGTTCAGGGACAGTGCTGCACTGACAGGTGCACCCCAAGTGATGGGCGGCTGCAGGGGTGCCCCTTCTTATTCTGAGCACCTGCGTGTCTGGAAAGCCTGGTGCTATGACACAGTGGCCTTTTCCCTAAGAACAATCCAGTTTATTTGTCTTTCTCAAATATTAAACGATTTAGAAAATGCAATAGGAATAAGGAGGAAGATTACTACCTTATGTTCATTGTTTCTGTCTACAAAGTGCTGGGATCTATTTAGTAAAATATTATTTCTAAAAATACTACTTTGAACCATGCTCACACCGAGAAGACATCACCCCGTTTCTCTGCCTTCCCATGCCCTCTCTACCAAGCCCATGTCTCCTGCCTCCTCCTCAGGCCTCACGTGCTAAGGTCTCTAAGGACACAGCTCAGGGTCGCAGGCAGCTACATACCCAACAGGGCTCAGAGCCTGGAAACTGCACTGGAACTCTCCAAGGGTGTGAAGGGAGTAGGATGGGGATGGCGGCTGTTAGCAAGGACAGCCTGGACCACCTTAGGGAAATTTCTGGGCTTCATTAGGAGGGTGACTTAGCTCTATCAAGTAGAAAATGAACCTTGACCAAAATGCCCACCTTTACCTACTCACAAAGTATTCCAAACTGCACCCTCTGTCTGAGAACAAAGCTGGTGAATGTACAAACACAGTGCACTGGAGAGGAGCTCAACGCCCCATCCCATCTGACAAAAGGTTAGCAGGATCATTTTAGAGTGCTCAGTCCACAGACACATGGAGCTGGGAGATCACAAACACAGCTCTGCTTTTTATTGTCAGGCCTCTACTCAATTGTGCAAAGGTCTCTGCTTTTATCCAGCAGTACATTTCTTAGTGGACTTCTGCTTATACATAACTGAAAACATGGCTGCAAAATAAAGGAGGTAATCATTAGAAATATTTGGACCCCACAAAAGTGTGGTTTTCTAAAGCAGAGACTAAAAAGAATAATAAAATGAGGCCGGGGATTTAGCTCAGTGTTTCCGCTGCCTGTCTTGCAAGCACAAGGTCCTGAATTCGATCCCTGATACCTAAATAAATAAAGGTATCAGATCTTTTAAAAAGGAATCATAGTAAAGTAACATGGCTGTGACTGGAAAGTCTGCTGCTTACAAGTTGACCAGCCCTGACCGAGGCTCCTGAAAGGGAACTGAATCCACATCGTTGCCTTCCTTGGGCACAAAGGGCTTGCTAGAGCAGCAGTTTCTACATTGTATTCTGGGCTCCCGCACCTCGGGGATGCGTGAGTGGAAGAAGTGGGGAACGGTCTGCCCCCCACCCCCTGGCAGACACAGCAGCCCTGTGTGCAAGGGCTGTGGCAGCTGCAGACTTGAGAGTTCATCTGCAAGAGATTCACATGCTAATAGAAAGCCACTGGATTAGACATGCAAGGTCATTTCTAGTCTAATAACTACTCTTTTAGAGTCAAAAGGACTACTAAATGTTTGCAAAGTTATGCCCATACTGCCTTTAAATTTATTTTGTACCTAAATTATGGGACACTGGCTTCTATTATGTGATAAAAAATGTAGAAACTTTTTTATGCTATTCCTATTTACAAATGATTCTATCAGTAAGAGTGACTAATTGCTGATTAGAAAAAAACTTTCAAGTCAGCAATCTTATTTTTCCCACTTTTGACCCCTAAATGGAATCCAAGAAGTTTTTATACTAATCCTACTTCCACCACATAGCAAATCTCTTGTATTTAAAAACATAGCCACTGTCTAAATATCAACAGCATATGCTATTAAGCAAATTTCCTATAATTTGCTCACATATACGATGAGCAAATGGTTCTGAATGTATTTTCATGCCCAAATCCATAATTCTGGATTTTACATTCCCTCTTCAATCAGAAGGGATAGAGTTTCCAACAGTCACTCTTGTTTGCCACACATACAATTCTTCTGCCTTTACTACTTTCCGGTCACCGGGAAGAGCTTTGCTCTGGGGCTGTGTGGTTCCCGGCGTCTCACATCCCTCCCTGCCTCATCCTCATCCACACACAGCCGCCGGCCCGAGGGCGGAGCCACTCTGAAAACAGCACGCACCTCGTCTTCCAATCCTCTTCTGACTTGGACCTGTTTTTGCGGGCCGCTCTTTGTTTCTCCTCAAGCCGCTTTTTTTCTTCGCTAGCTTGATCTAGAGTAAGAACATCAATAAACACGGTAAGTACAGACAGCCAGCACCCACGGGGGTCAGCATCTGTCCTTCTGCTGGAAGACAGGGCCCACAGTCAGACATCACATCAGACTCCTGCGTGCCATCAGGGGTGGAGCTGGCCTCCGAGATGCCACTGTCCCTTTTGACAGCTTATGGCTTTAGCAACCTCTGCCTTCACCACAAAGAACCAACTTATTTTTAAGGCCAGAAACATTAAGTTGAGCTGCTTCAGTGAAAACCTGGGTGGAAAGTGGAATAAATGTAAAATTTTCTAAATTCTTAGACCTCCAGAAGTCCCTCAGACTCCATTCCCAAGTTCACATCCCCTTCTGAAGTGCTGCTGCTGTTCCGTCTCACTGCCTCTTACTGGTGACGGGACACTGGGCGGCAGCCCTGGCCTCCAGAGGCCACTTTCCTGAGTTGTAACCACCACAGTCTCTAGACACTGCCACACATCTCCTGGGAGAAAATGGCTCCTCTCTGAAGAGCCACTGAAGAAACTACACTTTACGATTCAAAATGTTGTAATTATCCAAGGGAAGCCACACTTTTCTTTGAAGCTCAGAGGTGAATGTGAATTGTGAAATATATAGGAGTCAGAAGATAAAGTTCATAAAGATGCTCCATTTCCCACCAACACGTGAGAAATGCCTGTGGCCACAGGTGGTACATGAAGTTACCAGGGAAGTAACACTGAAGCAACGAATCAGTTCCTGAAGTCTACCCTGATTGCCAGATTTGAGAAGAAAGTTACTCAATTTCAATTTTAAAATGAGAGACTGAAAAAAGCTAGTACCAATGACACGAACAGTCGCGGGGAATGAGAGGGGCCACCGGCCCCAAAGAACCACGGAGTGGCACGGGCCACTGCTCACCTATCTCTCCATTCTCCATGGCTCGGATGTCAGGCCGCAGCCTGCAGTCGGTCTTGGGGATCACACTCTCCATTTCCTTGTCCACTTCATTCAGAACCATGGCAAAGCTAGTGAAGTTATACATCTGAAAGAAGTGAGGCAGTCAAATTATCACGGCCCAAAGGGCCCCAAAAGAGGCTGTGTGACGTAACAGTGACCCTCGACCTGGCTGTCAGCCTTCTCAGGTCCCTATGTCTGAATGGTTCCATCCAAATCTGACCCACATCTGGTATTCATGTCCAAGCCATCATGATGCAGGCCTTATAGAATACACGCCCTCTGTTACGAAGTACAACTACAAGCAAAATCAACAGTCGCTTTTCTCCACTAAATCCCTGTAGGGTGTGGAGATCGCATCTGCTGGTTAGCACACTCCTACCGCCTTGACCACCAGCAAGTGGTACGTGCATGACTGTCCCATCAGTGGCAGACGACAGTCCCTTGGGTGGCCGTGCATGTGTGGCCCTGGTGTGAACATGTTAACCAGGGTTGTTTTATCCCCAAAGGACTACTACAGAAGCACCCAGCACATCCTCCAGCTTGACACCAGAATGGATGGGGTCACTGATGTGTGGGGCCTCTGGGCAGGGAGGGAAAGCAGTCCAGGAGGCCAGCAGGGGACAACTGATGACAAGTGGTGACAACCTGTCTGCCACTCAGTGCTGCTCGGCGAAGGGTATCATCTCGGCTGGAGGTGAAGAGGGTGGCTGCTGTGCTGAGAGGCCGCCTCACCTGGGCAGAGTTTGGAGGCCGCGGGGCTATTCGCCACAGGAGGGCGCTGCCAGGGATGACGAACACGCTCTCGGAGTCCGGCATGGGCATCTCATCTGACTCCTCCGAGGTGCTCACCTATGACAGGTGGACGGCACTTGAGTAAAAGCTTTGAAAACATGCTTTACACACTGTAAAACACACTTACATGTACACTTACACACTACAAAATAACCTGATTATTGCACCCTGGAGAAAGTTAACTATATGAGAGAAGAAACACTAAGCCCTTTTTTCCTGCAAAGCACTATTTTCCTTTGGTCTGAGGCTTGGGAGAGGGCTGCTTGACGACTGAGCGAGAAGCTCAGGCAGAAGCCCTACTACCAGGAGACACAGAAGGCCCCTCAGAGGGCACTGCTCTCCAGGAAGTCACGGAGACCGGGTCCGTGCTGGCAGAGCCCAGAAGGTGACAATCGCAGAGGATTTGGTTCGGACCAGAGTCTGTCTTCCAAGGGTTTTGAGGAAGCTGCTCCTCATTCTGGAAGAGGGCACAGCCGATATACTGGTTCTGCACCTTCAGAGATGCTGATGCCCCTGCACTTCTGGCAATGTTTGGAAGAAGTGGCCCACACCATCTAGAGCCATAGCTCCACAGTCACAACAGAACGCAGAGGCAGTGCAGGAGGCCTGCAGATGCGAACCAACCAGGAGTGACGGCCTCCACTGGACACGTGGGGGAGGGTCATGGTAGGTTGGCAATCCACAAAACACGGTGTCAGTGGTTCCTGAACGAGGTCCTGACGGCTGCAACTGGAGAGGAGACTGAAGAGCGGGAGTCTCTTATCATGTCCACTGCTGAAGCAAGAGACAGATCTGCAGGCCGTTGGTGCGCTGGACAAGATGATTAACTGTCATGTCCTCCCTACACCCTGAACTTCCTGTATGTACAGAAGGCCTGGGCAAGTGTCGTGAGCCTCTGGGACTTTATATGTTTTATTGGTTAGTGTCACTTGCATTTAAGGTATCATCATCATCATCATCAAGTTCTTTCTGTATTATAGTTTGTTTTAGAAGCTTCTGGTTTTTAAAGACAAAACAACTGAGTATCTACTAAGTAAGTTCCAAGTGTGCCAGGATGCCAGAGGTGATCAGGAAAGGCCTGACTTCCATGGAGCCTGTGCACCAGTGAGGCAGAGCCCGAGACATTCTGAGAACTACAGAAAGCTGCACCCTGATGACCGTGAGCTAAAACCATTGGTGACAGAACACCAGGAAGGATCAGGGATGCACCTGGGAAAGAGAGGATCTAGACAGCTGTCAGAACATTGAGGTTCCTGTCTCCTGCCCACCCCACAGGCCGGGCTCTGCTGGGTGCTCAGTCTACTCTGACTCTGGGTCCCTGGCCTACGGGGAAGCTGCTAGCACCCCTGCTGTCTGTATACATAGAGGGCTCACGGCTTTGAGGGGCTAACAACATTCCCAACATCACAGGTAATGCATCAAACAAGGAACTGGTTGAAACTTCAGTCTGTTTCAGGCTTCACCATCCACAAGGAGGTGACATCTCTGCTCTTCAGCTTCCCACACCCATGGGGAAGTTCAGGGGCCTCATAGATGCACACAGGAAAGAGCGGGGGCAGACAAGGAAGAATGTTTGAGGTGAAGCCCACTTTTCTGCAAAGCCTGCCCAGACCCTTGGGGGATATAGAGTATTTCCTGGGGCTCTGCAAACATCCTCTGAGGTCCGTAAGAGAGGGCTGGATGACCAGTGTGATGGTGAGGCTGTTTTTGGCAGCCTAACTTCTCTTGGCAGGAGCTGCAGTCACAGAAGGTGCTGGGACATTTCCCAGGGGCCTGGGACCTTTCTTCTCTAGCTGTAAGTGTTTCCTGATGGTTGCAGAAAATCAGCTGCACACCTCACTGAATCGGGCAAAAGGAGGCAGAGACAGGGCTGTAAGGAGGAAAGCAGAACTATGCACTCACAGCTAAAGGCAACAGAAAGAAAGAAAAAGGGCGAAGCTATTGGATACCAATTCCAGTCACTTAACAGAACAGAATGCTCTGCCTCGAGAATACAGTTCAATTTACAAAGAAAGTCACAAATGTAACTTTCACTTTTGAGAAAAATGAAGACTTGTAAAATTTAATAAGCAACAGGGATGAATCCCAGAGCCCACGATCTGGAGTCTGAAGTGAGGCCCAGGAGATTGCATTTTTAACGAAATGCCAGTGAAGGATGTCCCAGAGCACAAAAGACTCCGTCAGTCTTGCTCTAGGTAGAGACTCATCTGAGCCCTTTGCCTATTGACAAACAAGTGGGTCCCGTTCTGATCCCTCTTTTATAATGAAGGCCCTGAGGCTGAGAGATGAGAATCTGGCCCAAGCCAGGTCTACTCAGAAACAGGGGGACCAGACTCTAACCCAGAGCTCATGCTCTGACCCTTTCCCTAGTTACTGGAGAGGAGTGGGGCCTCAAACAAGCAACTCCTGCCTGGGCAGCTACACCCTCTGGTTAGCTCTCAGCAGCTCTGCTTGCAGGGAAGAGACAGGGATCTGCAGGGAGGAAGCGCCTGCCGGAAGAAATGAGGAGTCCTGCAGGATGCTGACTGTCCCACAAAGAGAGCAGCCTAGCAATGGCTCCACTGGTGCCTGGTCCCAACAGCAGTGGTTCAGTGCTAGGGAAATAGCCAACAAGACAGCGGCACCAAGTAAGGCTTCATCTTAGAGGATACTTTATCTCCTCAAATCACTAAGCTGAACCGCAACTTTCCAGGGCTATGTGTTACAGTAAAGCCCCACAGAGACTTGCCACCCTATCATAGATGTGGCACACAGTGACTTCCTGCGCAGGATCGTGTCCAACATTTGCAACTAAGGCAGGTATTTGCTCACTTTAAAAATGCAAGAACCATTACACACACGCATTACCAACACTAAGAAATCAGTGTCAGTCAGTGCCTCGGTTTTAGGCCAGCTCCTAAAAGTTAGTACAGATGTAACAAGGCAGCTATTCCTTGACTCCACCTTACAGGATGCTCACCTGTTTGCTGTTCTTCTTCTCTTCAGTGTTTTTCTTATCATTTTTTTTGTAGGCCTCAAAAGTGGCAGGGTCAACACTGTACAGACATTCGGTCCACTTCCCGTAGAGTGCACAGAGCTTCTTTTTGCTGTCAAGAGAAGCTAATGTTTAGTCAACAATCTACTGTAATCAAATACAGTACCAAGATTTTTGTGAGTCAAATACTTAAGAAACAGACATTTCCTTGTAGAACTATGGAATTCCTTGTAGCACTCTGTTAGAATACTAGTTTCCTAGTTTGTGGCAGCAGGTCTTCATAATGACATCTTGGGAACAACATCAACTCTAACATTTAAAATGGAAACTTTACCTTTTATCTTGAATGTAGCCTTCAACTTTGTGCAATTCCTTACCAAAAAGGCCACATGGCTTAAAATTCAACACACATTTGTCCCCAGTCCTGTGGAGGAAATAAGTTCAAATCACCATTCGATGCCATAGAAGCAGCAGAGAAATGATAGTAGCCTTTCTGGGCAGCTGCTGTTTACTGATTATCTGTACCTTCAAGGTCCAAATGGGTACCTCCTCGTCAATCAATGCTACCATAAAGAAAAGTGTGTGAGGTTGAGAATTAATGAGCAACTTGCCTAAATTCCCAAGGTAGGATTCCAACCTAACGGCTTTCATGCTCCGGGACCTATTGAATAGGTAAAATGTCACCCTATGCCCTCTGTCAATTAACAAACGTAAATAATACCTGGGAAATGAGCTTAGATTGGAACTATGATTCACAGAGCCTGGGGAAGTTCAGGATTGACTCCACCTTCCTTCATTAGAGGCTTCAGTGAATACTATTCCTTAAATGAATGGTAGTTCAGGATTGACTCCACCTTCCTTCATTAGAGGCTTCAGTGAATACTATTCCTTAAATGAATAAGTACATTTACTTAAATGTTTAAGTACTCAGCAGTCAGACTGCCCAATATCTTGTTTTATTATGAGAGTGTTACTAAGTTGCGTCTGCTGGCTTCAAGTTCCCAACCCTCCTGCCTCAGCCTGCTAAGCAGCTGGGACTGCAGGCCTGCATCACCACATCCAACCTAGTGCCTGATTCTTACATTTTCATGGTACTCTACTAAAGGTTTAATGAAAACTGATACAGCGATAAAACACCCAAAAGTGCCTTACTTGTGGTTTGTGATTTCCACATTGCCATACTGCTCAATCCAGAGTTTACCCACAATGATATTGTGCACACAGCAGGTAGGATTTGTCCATGTATATGCTTCATTGTGTCTATTAAAAAAAAAAAAAAGACACACACACAACCCAGGAGTTACTTTGTTTGAAAAGTGTATTTGCTTCAAATGCTTCACACTAACCAATCAGGCTCAGGGAACTGAACTCTAAAACAGGCATCTTTTTCTAAATCATGCATTTTTTTTTTGGTACCAAGGATTTAAGTTGGGTCCTTGCGCTTGCAAGGCAGGTGGAGGAACCACTGACCTAAACCCCCAGCCCTGCTTATGCTTTGTTTCAAATGCAGTGTTGCTAAGTTGCCCAGGCTGGTGTCAAAACTCCTGGGCTCAGGTGATGCTCCTGCCTAGGTCCCCCAAGCAGCTGGGGCTACAGGTACATGCCAGTATACCAGCCTTATTGTTTTAAAAGGAAACAAAAGCTTGAAAAATAATTCTGTATTTCCACTAAACTCCAAATAAACTTCAGTATCCCTAACCTGGAAATCTGAAAAGGACTAACATCATGCTCAAAGAGATTCCGATTTTGAGGCATTTCAAATTTCAGACCTTAGACGAGAGATGTTTAACTGATAAGGTCCATTAACTATATATTCTCAAATCCAAGAAACTTCAAAATCTGAAATGCTTCTGATCTCAAGCATTTCAAGTAAGGGATATTCAACCTATATATAATTATTTTAAGCATTTGAAAGTAACATACTAAAAGTAAAATTAAATTAGAAGTTTAATTTTTTTTTCTTTTGGTTTTTTTTTTGGGGGGGGGGCTTTTTTTTGAGACAGGGTCTCACTATATAGTTGAGACTGAACTGGAACTCACTATGTAGCCCAGGCTGGTCTCGAACTCACAGTGATCCTCCTGCCTCAGCCTCCTGAGTTCTGGGATTAGAGCGTGCGCCAAGAAGTTTAATTTTAGACACCCCATTTCTGCGGGTGTCCTGTTCGGAGTTTCATGAGTGTATACACCTGTGTAGTCACCAACACAATGAGAATCCAGAACAACTCCATCACCCGCCAGAGATCTGCCAGTGCTTTGCCAGGCAATCAAACCTTCCTCACTCATCTCTGGATTCTTAATTCATGCTACACCTTAAACATCCCTAAGCCTCATCTGTTTTGCAACATTACAATGTTTTGCCTTTTCCAGGATGTGAAGGAAATGGGACAACACGGTATTAACCTTTCCAGGTTAGCTTAATTTGGATGATGCCTCTGAAATTTGTTTTCTTCTATGTGTAACAAGAATCTGTTCTTTTGCATCACTGAGCAGCACTCCACTGTGTGAGTGGATCACAGTTTAACCGGTCACCCGATGAAGTGAATCTGGGTTGTCTTTCATTTCTGGTGATGATGAATAATGCTACCTAAACATCTGCACACTTGTTTTTGTGTCAACAGGGTTTTATTCTGGGTGCTGAGTTCCCTCCCCTCCGTGATCAGCCCACGAGGGCCCTCTCCTCTGCCTGACTGGCAAGCTGGGGTGTGAGCCTCAGTCCTGGCTACACTTCCCATCACCAGGTCTCGCTCTGGGGCAAACAGGTGAAAGCTGTACCACAGAACCCTGGTACTCATCACTAACTGGTTCCAGGAGGTGCAATGAGGACCCAAGATGACGAATACTGAGCAAGGTGTTTTGCCTGGCACAAAACTTTTACATTAAATTTCATCAATCATCAAATTCAACTATTTTCAAAGTAGGCAAACACCAGAGAATGACTGCCCTAGGATTCTCATTATCAGTTCCTGCAGCCAAGGAAAAAGAACTTTGCTGAGTTTTAGGGACTTGTGTGGCTGCCGCCACTGCTGCAGGACAGGAGATACAGGTTGTATGTAGCACCTGCTTCGGGGCAGGGCGGAGAGAAAACAGGATTTCTCCTGCTCACTCTCTGCACCTTCCCACAGCCTCTGATCAGAAAGGGGGAGTTGCTGTCTGTTCCGCTTCTGGTTCTGTGACTTCCTGTTCTAACTCTAAGCCAGAGAAATGGGAGGAAAAGAGGAAAGCAGGCATCTCACTGCTGACTTGGTCTTCAGACTTGATTTCTCTCTCCGGTCTGCCTGCCTTTAATTCTCTGTCCAGTCCTCGGACTGCGGCTTTCTGTCTCTGTCTAGTGTTTCCACCAGGATCAGTGGAAGAAAGAGGATGGTGTGCTTACTGTCTTAGTGGGAACTGCCTTTGAATGTAAAGCTAATCTGGCTAAAAAGAACTCCTAATGTATGCAACAGTCTGCTTCTCAAGGTGAATTCATTTTGAGTAAAATACTGGTGCCATGATGTTCAGACAGTTAGCATCATAGGAACTTCCACAGAGTTAGTGATTAACGCTTAGCAGGTCCAGACACAAGGCTCAAACATCAAGATACTTTCTTTTTTATTCCAGTACTGAGGATCGAACTAGGACCTTATGCTTGCGAGGCAAGTTTGGTGCCACTGAGCTACATCCCTGGTCCAACTTTTTTTTTTTCTGTGCTGGAGCTCGAACCCAGGGCTTCGTGCACGCTAGGTAAGTGCCTCCACCAGTGAGCTAATCCCCAGCCCAAGATAAAGTTTTTACAATATTCAGATTAAAAGTGGTTCTGATCAGAGTTCTGAGGTCCTTTAATGCAGAGGTAAACACTTAACACGTGGTGAATGCTGTTGCTTTCAAGTCTCCAACTTCTGAGCAACATGGTCAGGTCTATGGAGATGCATGCACACTTCACTTCCAGGTGGGTAAGCATGAAGAGCTGAGTGGCTTATTACTCACTCAAGGAGCTCCAAGGTGATGGTTCCTTTTGGTTCTGCTTCTACACTCTTCCCCCAGAACTTCAGTTTTGGATAGATGGAGCCATGGAAGATGAAATCGTTGTTTAATCCTTCAGCGTGAAACGCACTGATTGGGGGGTGATGGCTGACCTGCTCAGAGATGAGTCTGAATCCAAGGTCATCTCTTACAATGAAAAAGAAAAAGGCATAATTAACTCTAGCACTGAATGTGTATATTATTGTCATTTCGGTCAAAAAGCAATGAAAATATTAAAGAAACAGGTTCAATGAAGTATATAATTATTTATCATCATCTTGGTGAAAGAACAACTTCATATATGAGATATCACACAACCCAGACAATTGAATCAAGTGTTGTTCTAATAGTAGCTACTTGGACATTCACATGGGTCAGGGTGACCTACACGGAATGGTAAAATTAGCCATGAAACAGAACTTATGCCTTTATAAGTAAGATAGTGAAATACAGCATGTTCACTTAACAGCATCTACAGAATGTGATCAAAATCCGTGCAGACAAGAAAGCAATATGGAGTCTACAGTCAAATCAATTCACTAAATCTGTATAAATAAGAAATGGGCCTGTGCAAGTAAACAGAACCCACCTGTGGATTCCTCCACTGCTGTCAAGGCCTTGTATTTTTGCTCCTACACTTAGTATAGCTCTACACTAACAACCCCATGAAGAGGAGGGCAATTACTCCATGACCAGGTACACTCACAATTACTTTTGTTTGGTACCAGAGATTGAATTCGGGTCCTTGAGCTTACAAGGCAGGTGGCACCACTGAGCTAAATCCCCAGCCCATAATTACTCTTGACAATGGTGCATTTTATGCCTGTTCCAGTATTTCTGACATAACTCTTTAAAATCCTAAGTTCTTTTTAAGAGGGAAGGGGTTTATTTATTTTTAATAAATTTTATTTTATCCCATTTCCCACCTCAAGCCTCCTCTCCTAAGTACAAAATCTTTGTTTCCATTTTTCCTTCTATTTTCTCCTTTTTCTTGTCCCTTCCTTCCTCTCCCCCTCCCTCCTCCCTGGTCTCCCTTTCTTCCCATTTTCCAGCATACATTATACATCTCAGTCCTTACTTCTACATTCACTTCCTCACACCGTAAAATCGTAAGAACTGTCCGTTTGTTCCAGCCATGCAGAACTGCCTACTGGTGTTTCCCTCTTCGGTGAGAAGTTACCGAAATCATCCAAACAAAGCTTCCCCGGGGTGGGGGGCAGGGGCTCACCGCACTAACTCGTAGGTCTCCCCCAGCAGCGGGTTGAAGGGCTTCCCGGTCCTCTCCCACTGCGAGGCCACGGCAGACACTGCAAAGGCAGCTACACACTGCAGGGAGGAGACGGCACCAGTTACAAAGAGCTCGGTGCGTCCTCGTCCTCTCAAGATTGAAACTGCGCTGGAAACAGTAACTGACAACATTATTCTAAGGAGCTTTAATTGTTTTTTTGTTTTTTCACCTCTGGCTCTAGAAACAACGTGGGAGACTCGGATATTTATAAGGAAAAGTCCTGACTCTCTTCCTACATGTTATACTCAAACATGGTGTTCATAACACAAGACTGCTACAAATTCTCTCAAGACTTCTAAAAAGTTCTCAAACCAAGTTATTCACTCATTTATTTTTTACTTTGAGACAAAGTTTTGCTAGGCAGTTCAGGCTGGCCTCGAACTCACAGCAGTCCTCCTGCCTTAGCCTCCTGAGTGCTGGGTGTGCACCAGGTTTGGCCAGCAAGTTACTTTTGATATACTTAACCATTTTTAAAGGACCACAGTCCTTCAGTATTTGAGGGAAGTGAGTTCTAAGACCATTCTTAGATGCCAAAATTTGAGGGTGCTCAAGTCTCATAAAATGCTGTAGTACTTGCATGTAAGCTGCATACAACCTCCCATACATGTTAAATCATCTCTAGATTAATTATATCTAATACAACACAGTTATCCTGCCTTGTTTATGGAATAACTACAAAGTCTGTAAATTATTCATGCTCAGTACAGATGCCATTTTTTTCCTCAAATACTGTGCATTCGAGCTTGGTTGAACCCAAGGAACCCAGGGATATGGACAGCCAACTGTACATTACATTTATGGAGGAGCCTCAATGATTTAACTGGTGTCAAAGCCAGTGAAGTAAGAAAAGCGGATTTATATAAATGAAAGGACAGAAAGACTCAGGGTAGGTTGCTCTTGCTTTGTGTAAAGGAGAACAATGTGTCTACTATACTCTGCCTGTCTCATCCACCCATGGGCATCACATAATCTTTTCTACTTAAAAGAAATTTTAAAAGTTCACTTCCTCACTGTCATGTGTGAACACACAGGCATATGTGTACCTAGGCACAGGCACACAGAAGCACAAGTGTGTGTGTGTGTGTGTGTGTGTGTGTGTGTGTGTGTGTGTGTGTGTGTGTGTGTGTATAGAAACTCCCTAGAAACTCCTTGAGATCTGGGGGTGAGGTGAAGATGGGAGGGATGGAAGGGAAAGGAGAGGGAGAGAAAATCAAGATGCCATGTGTATATTACCAATTCCCCAGGATGAATGCATTTTTTATGTATTACAAACATATACTAATAAACAGGGGATAGGGAATTAAGTCTTAAGAAAGCTTCACAGAAATGGACTTTTCCCTCTGCTAACACAATGATACTTTCTAAAATGAAGACAGAGAAAGAAATCCCAATACGCAGACGTGGTGTGACCACCTTGTTCTGAAATACCCACTGGTCGTCCCCCTGGGGACATTCCGCAGAGGAGGGTGGGGCTGGACAGGCTGAACACCGCCCACTCGCACAGGACTGTGCCCTGGTTGTATGCTCATCTGGGGGCAGGTTGGGGAAGGGTACGGGAGACAAGTCTCGAAGACATCAAACCTCTTCCCAGTGCTTGCTGGACAACATACCTGCATTCTTTCCACGGGGTCAGAAAAGGAACTGGCCTTGTGGATGAGGTAAGTGTGCTCCATGTATTCAGTTAGTCGCTGCAGGAAGCTCAGAGGCTCATTAAATATCACTGGCATCGTGATCTTGGAGAGTTCCTATTTAACAAGAAAACTGAACTGTTATGTCCAGCATACATAGCACACAGGTTCCTAGAGAGGAAGTAACAGAAAATTACAGCCTGTAAAATTTCATCAACTTCGGTTCAATTTCACACATCTTTGCAAGGTACCTAAAATATGCAGTACAGTATTCTAGACCTTGACAGGAATGTAAAGACCACCCAAACCTTCTTTTTGACTTCGCGGAGAGCACAAGCTAGTGGCAAGCGCAAAACTACTGCTTAGATCAGAATTAAGAAATGGGATATAAAAGTGACGGGGACAAACAAATAAACATATGAAGAAATGTTCAGCATCACTGGTCATTCGAGAGATACATATTAAAACAACGCTGAGAGTCCACCTCACTCCAGAAAGAATGGCTGCTATCAACCAATCAACCAATAATACATACTGGTGGGGTTGCGGGGAAAAAGGAACCCTTCTCCACTGTGGACTGGTGCAACCACTGTGGAAATCAGTGTGGAGATTCCCCAAAAAACTAAGTAGAGGTTCCTTTTGACCCAGCTATTCCCCTTCTTGGTATCTTCCTGAATTAAAAGCATCATACCACCATGATATTTGCGCATTCATGATTATTGCGGCAGAGTTTGTAATTGCTACATCTTGGAAATGGCCCCAACCCATAACCAATGAATGGATAAAGATGTAGCTTTTTCACACAATGGAGTACCACTCTGCCATAAAGAAGGATGAACGTGAAACATTTACAGCTAAATGGAAGCACCTTGAGGCCATACTTTTAAGTTAAATAAATTGGACACAAGTGTTTACCTCATTGTTTCTCTAGTATGAGAAACAAAAAAGTGGAAATAAGGACTAAAGTGTATAACAGATATTGGGAAACGTGAAGAAAATGTTCAAATGGGAAGGGAAGAAGGGAGGGGAGAGGGAGAAAGGAAGGTAAGGACAAAAAAAGTGAAAAAAGAAGGAAAATGGAAACAAAGCTTTTATACATGAGGAAGGGGGACGAGTGGAGGGAGCAATTGGAAAAAAGAGGCAGAAGGTGCTGTGCAAATTCCCTATGACGAGTGCTATCACATATGACTAAAATGTAACAGTAAATGTTTTGTTATTAAAAAAAAGTGACAGGGACACAAAAAGCAAAAGTCTTCATATTGACGTTAAAACAACGGGGGCAGACTGAGATGAAGTTCCACTGCCCTGGCCTCCCACATAAGCCAACTGAAACCGAATTCAATGTAAACTGTGGCTTTTCCACTCAGAGCTGCCAGACTAACCTCTCATTCACAACTGTCCCCTTCAACCAAGCAAATCTATTTTCTTGGTCTGAGCCTCTCAAACTTCTCCCCCACTCCTTGCAGGAGTGTTGAACTGCGCAAGGTCTGCGGCTGCCTGAGTCATGCATCACTGCTCAAACAAAATCATTAAAATCCCAAGTGCTAGCCTGTGCCTAACGTTCATCTTTTAAGAGTGGCTAAGGATCAACGACATATGCCAAGAACTTGAGACTCATTTTAGCTGACAATGCTGAGCTTTTCTGGACCTGCCTTTCAGGTATCGGCTGTGGATTAGAGTACTTCTGCATTTTATAAAATGCTTTCAAGTTTTGCCCGTGAGAGTGGCACTCTGACAGCCTGCTCAGTTTAATGACCTGGCAGGGCTCTTGGACCTGAACTGCAATCCTTCAACTCTGTTCACTTTGTGCTGCCAGCAAGAAAGACTAGCTTGAGCTCCTTTCCAAAATTCAGTGACAACTCTGTCTTCCCATTCTCTGGGATATTCTGACAGGTTTCCCAAACTCCTCCCTCCCCCTTCAGAATCTGGTGCCTCCTGAGTCCTGTGGGCTGAAGTCACCCGGTCAGGTGCCTGATCCTGAGCAGCGATCCGGACTGAATGCTGGAGGACTGTCCTGACTCCTCTCCCTATGGCCACATTCTCGACCATCTGCACAACCAAAAATAATATGACCTTCCCCAAAGAAATAAGCTCATTCATTACTATAAAACACTGAGAACACAGGCAGACAGGTGGCAGCTCAACCTAATTGAAAGAAATGCTTCACTTACTGCGGCCTCATTGGGATCTACTATATGGAGAAAGAAAAGCAGGTTTGCCATGTGCACCCGAAGGTGTCACTAACCGGAGATTTGGTATCAGGACAAGTCAAAGCATGCCTTATTTGAAATGACCTGAGCTCCTTCTCGTCTACTTTAAAAAATGCCCCCCCTCCTTTTTTTGTGGTACTGGGGATCGAACTCAGGTCCTTGAACTTGTGAGGCAGGCTCCGGAACCACTGAGCTAAATCCCCAGCCCTCCTTTCATTTTCTTTTTAAGAAAACTACTAGGGGAATATAAACTCTCATAGTATAATAAAACTCTTTCTCCACTTCCTTATACTACTCCTGTCCCAGAGGCACAGTACCAGAAAGAGTTTAGGACACACACCTCTGTGTTTGTGTCTGTCTGCATGTGTGTATTTATGGGGGGGTGAGAGAAATTCTCCTTCTCTCACACACATGCAAGGAAGGTGTATACACTGAGCACATGAAGTTTCTGTAACCACCTGCAGTGTGATGCTAACACCACTTAACCACACTCACTGTACCTCCCGCTCCACCCATCATGAGCTGAGCAACTCTCCCAAGTTCAACTTCATGCTAGTTTCTTCATCAGTAACACAATACTAATAGTTACCCACCACAAAGCACTGTCACAAGACTAATGTTGGGAAAAACAGGCGGGTTCTGGGAACATACGGAAATGCTATATAAATTTGTTTTATGTGAAACAAAACCCACATATACGCATACCATGCATTATGCAGTCACATCTCTTTTAAAACAGAGGAAGACATCGCTTTAAAGTGTGTTTCCCTAAGTGGGATTTCGGGGTCAAAGGCACACCTGACTAAGATTTTTATAGATGCTACGGATGCTACTTGTGTCCCAAAGAGGCGTTACCAATTTATGTTCCCACCAATGCTGCATGAGTCAGACCCTCCTTTAACATCAAAGCTGTGAAGAGTGGCACACTCCTTCCGGTCTGCTCAGTCTCGCCCATGTCATTAAACTGGTATGTAAATAAACAAGTACTGCGAGCCGAGCCGGGCTCTGTCCCAGGCACCAGATGAAAGCCTCATCCACAGCCAGCCCTGACCTGGAACGTCCCGCCCCATCTCTTCCCTCAACTCCTCTTCATTCATCCAGATGTCTAGGCCCGGTCAAGCCTCTCCTCCTGCTCACGGTCCTGGTTCCCTCCAGCTCCTGGTATACACATGTATTAGCTTGCAACTCAGAATTAGATCATGTAACAGATAAAATCGCCCATCCTTACATCAAAGGTACTGAAAACAATGTGTCTTGCTGCGTATATCGCCATCTCTTTGCACATTTCCATGGGAAATAAAAGACCTAGCAGCAGCCCTTGGCGCTGGCAGGGCCAGGTTTCCACACGTTAGAAATGACTGAGAACATGGTGTGAACACCAGGTCTGAGACGAGGAACGTAGGGTAATCTACCAATTCAATGGGTATGTTTATTTTTTAATAATCTAGAAGCTCCTACAGTTCCAGAAGTTCACGGAATAAAATTTTGCAATGTTGGATAAACCCATTCTATTTATTTTAGTAACGCAGAATATAACTCCATCAAACAACAGACCAAATGAGAAGGAAAGAGAAAGAACTGAGAGGTGTGTGCACGTAAATCTAGACTGTTGTAAAAACAACCTTGACTTCTTAAACAATCTAACATGAAGTTTTCAAATACAGTAAGCGACTTGCGTTTTATTGCCTCTATCCTCCGCAATCATTTAAAGATAATCTTATAACTACTTTGTTAAAATTTACAATTTCCTAAACACATAATGAGGACCAGGGATTTAACTCAGTGGTTCCACTGTCTGCCTCGAAAGCACAAGGTTCCCCCCCCAAAAAAAAGTCTAAACAGATAATGAAAAACTCAGTGACACAAAATATATTTTATTTCCTTTCCTACTTAGAAATGTAAACACACCACGGAGAGTTATAATCCAGTCAAGAATGGGAAAAATGGGGGTGCATTCCAAAGATACTGTAGACAATTAGCCTGTGTACATAGTCTAGTAATGGGGGGAAACAACGCACATTATTAAGGTCGAGCTGTGGGAAGAAACATTAGCAAGAACACTATTATCACTGAGTTTCAGTCAGCAGGAAAAAATCAAATATTTATGCCAGTCAATTCTGCCTTGTGACCTAGCTGAAAGCAAAGTTTAAATTTATCCATGCAAATTAACAACAACTGATGATGAAACTGAAGAAACTCCTAATTGCAACTGCTTATCAGCTGAGAAGTTGAAAAGAAACAGAGAGAAGGCTGCTTCTTCACTTGAGCACTGTATAAACAACCTGAAAGCAAGGCCAATCTGAGTGCAGCTGAAATGGAAAATATTTTCTAAATGTACAGTCTATCATTTTAACATCCAGAATGTGCACACACTCCAGGGCTGCGTCATCGGGAGAAAGTCAACTTGGGTGTTAGACCAAGTCTGCCTCTGCTGCCCAGGCAGCAGCCTGTGGGCCAGCTGTTACCCAGGAGTGTGAGCTCAGCACCCAGTGTCACTGGGCCTCTGGGGTTCTTCACTCACAGCCAGGAGCGGCAGCAGTCCTGGCTGTGCTTTGGAAGGGGCCGTGCCTTCCGTAACACGAAGCTGGCACTGGAACCTTCCTCTGTGATACCCTTACCTCCCATAGCTACGGAGACTAAAAATTAAACTTTCTTACATTTACGGGCTTTGAAGGGTCAGTGTCTTCTTCCCACCTTGTGCTGCTAGGTTACCTGCAACACAACCAAGACACCTAGCATCCAGTAGCTGACCACAGGGTAAATACTTTAAACAGCTTGCAAAGAGCCTGCTTTCCCTCCTGGGGTTGCAACAGTGCTGCCCAGCCCTATACACCAACCCAGGGACACATGACATGGGTGAAACTGGAAGACCCCCCAGCTGGAAATGAAGAAACCATGGCTTAGGAA